TTATCACTACATATATATGTATGTGTATGAGAGAGTATATGCACTCTAAGTTTGGTGAGTATTAACAAAAAGTCCATAATGACTTTGAATTTATATATTCATATATATATATATATATATATATATATATATATATATATATATATATACATATATATATCTTCTAACTTTATATATATTTATATATATTTAAATATACATTTATACCCACAAAATATATATATATATATATATATATATATATGTGTATATATATATATATATATATATATATATATATATATATATATATATATATATATATAACACTTTGTATGTATAACATTTTGTATATACACATATGTCTGATTTTGCATATGATTATATGAGGTAATATTTTATGGTATGATTAATATGTGTGTATATATATATATATATATATATATATATAAATATAATATTCTTCTTATTTATATATAATATTCATCCAATTTATATATAATATTTGTGTACAAATATTTACTGAATGTAATTTGTGATACATGTTTATATATATTCGAAAAAAAAATTTCAAGTGCATACATAATTTATACACTCTTTCTTATATATATATATATATATATATATATATATATATATATATATATATATATATATATATATAATTTCTAACATATGTCTATTTTCCATCGGATTTCCCAATTATGAAGCAAAATTAAGCCAAGGTAATTCATATTACTCGAAATACAAATAAGGTCGTATTTGACTTACCTAAGAACCAAATGTTGACCAGTAAGTCTTGAAGAATTTATATTCATAACTTTTATGCAAGTCTATAAATGAAAGATAAACGCCATTTGTCATTTAATATTTTTACTCCTGAACCAACAACCACAAAGAAGATTTTGGTACCTGAAATTATGATTGAATCAATGAGGAATTAAACCTTGACAAATGCATTCTATTGCAATAAATATATAAATAAACAAACCATTTCTTTGAATTCTCGTGTGGTGGGTAATCCCGCACCTTCCATGTGACCTTAATTCGAGATTTGGTTTTTTGCTTTGAGGAAACAAGAGGAAAGCTTATATCCAATTTTACGAATCTAAATCTCCGTATGTGCAAGCGTGTATATATATCACTGTACAGGCATGCACATACATGTTCAATATCTGGGTAGTTTCCCATTGAACTTGGACAATAAATGCGATTAAATATCGCTCGTTTCGTAAAATAAAACAGTAGAAAAATCCCATGCCCACGCCGAGTTACCCGCTTTAATTTCCAGACTTTGCCGTTTTACTGGAAAAAAATATTTGAGCAAATATTGCTATTTTCATTGAAGTTCTGTCGTAGTAACGAGTTAAATACATACCAATAATTTATGACATATCTTTGCTCGATTCGAGATTTGATCAATTCTGGGAGGAGGTCAATATCTAGAGCGAAAAGTTTTTAATGACTTTTACCCTGAATGGATGCAATAAAAACCAAACTTTGACTATATTATGACACACCTGGAATTCTGAAAAATTTAATACATTACCTATATTATGATTTTTATTTTTTTCCGTAATATCTAATTGCCTTGGAATGTCAATTTTGCTTTCAACATTTATTCAACATCTTACAAAATTTTTTATAAACTAAATGCTTTAACATTAAATAATTCGTACAGAAAAGAAAATTAACTTTCAATATTAACAAAAAATACCAGAATGATGTAATTTTAAAATGATTAATTAATTTAGTTTTTTTTACATCTATAAAGAAATAAAGGTAATAATTATAATCATTTTAATTTTTAAATATTATTAAAATTTTATAACTAAAAAAATATTTTAATGATAATAAAGGTAATGATTTTAGTGCGGTTATATTATTTTAGTTCGTATTCATGGAAAACATTCTTTCTTATGAAAAAAATATAGGGATATTCTAGAAGAAATTAAAGAATAAACTACGTGGTGATTTTTAAATGTATTTTTATTTTGCTTCAATCATCAATTTTCTTTGATTGACTATAATTATTTATGTCTATCTTCATCAAAATTCATCTTGAACAATGGCTAAATGAAAAAAAGATTAATGTCTAGCCGAGAAGACATTGATTCTAAATTTTTTATAGCCATTCAGACAATTTATGACATTTACGCATATGCATACATACCTACTACATACAAAATATGTTATTAAAGACAACGCATATATATATATATATATATATATATATATATATATATATATATATATATATATATACTTATATTTCAATTTTTAATACATACAAATATATATATCTATATATATATAAATATATATATATATATATATATATATATATATATATGTATATTTTCTGTATATGTATACATAGATATATATATATATATATATATATATATATATATATATATATATATGTGTGTGTGTGTGTGTTTGTGTCTGTGTGTGTGTGCGGTGTGTGTTAATTATTATACTTAAGTTTATATGCTTAGGTATGCCAATATTGCAAATAAAGCCTTGTACAATACAAACTATCATACTTATCTATATATGCATTTTACTCATATATCAATATTCATACTTACATATTTGCACATATAAATGTATAAATATATATATGTTCAAATATATATATATATATATATATATATATATATTTGTATATATATATATCATAAAATTTAAACTAATGTTCATCAAACATGTTTACAAATACATATGCAAATATATATATATATATATATATATATATATATATATATATATATATATATAGATATATATATAACGGACAAATATACTCGCATATACGTTTTAGAGCTTAATATATATATATATATATATATATATATATATATATATATTTATATATATATATATATATATATATATATATATATATATATATATACATACATGATTGGCAACATGGTTTTTTACTTTCTGTTTCTCTAAATAAATTGTCTAATTGCATCGAGATTGGATCACGCAAAAGCGTTTAAGACAAAACAGTCTGCCAACCATTTCCCACATTTGAAAATAGGATTTCGTGCCACATCCCCCATTCAACATCACCCCGTCTCTGCCACAGACCCTTTTCACCTTTATGCAAAATAAGTTCTGAGTAAGAGTACCATCTAATGCCATTTGACAATCACTAATATTAAGTAACGGGATACATTTTAATCTACCCATGCAATGTATTAATTTTGAAATAACACAAGAAGTAATAATTTAATCGTGATAAAGCTCTATTACTTATAAAAAAAGAGAAATAATATATTTAATAAATCGTATTCTTTTCAAAGTTGATTAATTACACAGCGAATAGTTTGAAAGTAAACGAATATTAAACATTATCTTCATTAAACAGAAGGTAAAATTAAAATTGATTTCATAAGAAGTTTCAGTAGTTAAATGAGAATAAATGACCCCGAAAATTACATTTCATAAGCGTATTGAACTTTCTGGATATAAAAGAGAATTTAAGAGAATTTAATCTAATTAACCGAAGACAAATATTATTTCTAAATTCATTAAAGCTAGGAAAATACTCGTGGTATATTTTTGTTTTGTTTTGTAAAGACAAAACAAAAGACGTATTCCACAATTTTAAATATACACCTATATGTATTTATCATTATTCCTTCCGCTAATATACTCGACAAGTATGTTCTTAAATCCTTATTATATGCACAGTTCAATAATAATCATAAGGATAAGAGTAGCAACATCAAGAGCAATGAAAACAAATCTAAAATAACAATAGAGAAGAGCGCGATTTAAGAAAAAAAAGACACAATGTTTGACAATGTTTAACAATATTTTGACAGCATGTCGGTCTTGTTCGAGTTATGTTTATTTTTTTTTTTGCAGGCATGAAAATATACGAAAAAAACTGCAAAATATTATAAGCATAATTTTACACTTGTAAAAAAAATTAAACATTTAAAAAAAAATAACTTGAAGAAGAGTGACATACTGTCGAAATATTGTTGAACATTGTCACACACATTGTCTTGGCTTTTTCATTTTCTTTTTCTTTCTTATTTTCTTAAATTGAGTTCTTCTCTTGAGTGTTGAAAAATAATAATAATAATAATAATAATAATAATAATAATAATAATAATAGTAGTAGTAATTTGATTGTGTGACTTCTTTGACCAGCTGGAGTCATTCAAAAAATCGTCTCTTTTGGACACTGCGCTTATTTTGAGAATAGTGTTATCTACCTCTGGTCCTTGTTGTAACTTAGTATACTCGATGTATTTAACAACTTACACTGTGTGACAAAACCTAATATGATGATGATGATAATGATAATAATAATAATAGTATTATTGATGGTATTAGTATTAGTAATAGTTCTAACAAACACAGTAAGCACTGTAAAGTGCTTTCCATATTGAAGTTAGCTGTCTTTTGTTTAACTAAGTGAAGACAACAAAACGTTACATTCCTCACATACCCGATGTCAATGGTTATGACCCGATATATGATTATAAAATAAATAGTTATGACCCGATATATGATTATAAAATAAATGGTTATGACCCGATATATGATTATAAAATAAATGCTGGTAAAAAAGAAATCAATAATAATAATAATAATAATAATAATAATAATAATAATAATAATAATAATAATAATAATAAAAATAATAATAATAAGGACAAACATTATTCGAAATTCATCAATTATTTTTTTCTGTAAAGGACAAATATAAATTTCACAAATAAATAAAGTATTTAAACAAAGAGTTAAAGTTTTAAACAATCCAATAAATTTTCTAAATGTATGAAACTATATGTTTCCTTACAAAAAAAAAAAATAATAATTCCTTCCCTCCACCCCGGCTTACAAGAGAATCTTGATTAGAGATGCTAAAAAAGAATTTTAAAATTTCGAAAATAAGAAATAAAAAAACAATAAAATATATAACAAAATTGTAGAAATAGTTTGCGAATAAATGGGTTGAGTGACTTACTATTTTATTTTAAAGTACCTTTCTACTTAAATATTGAACATTGAGAATGAAAGCTAGAATTGTGGGAGAAAAAAAAAAGGAAAATATCAGTGAAGAAGGAATGTAAAAGATTGAGAGAAAGAAAAAGAGAGAAAAAAAACGAAAAGAACATTTTACAAAGAAAGAAAGGAAGGAAGGAAGGAAGGAAGAAAGAAAGAAAGAAAGAAAGAAAGAAAGAAAGAAAGACAAAATATAAGCCAGAAAAGAAGATTAAGAAAAAAGCCGAAAGAAAAAAAAAGTAAAAAGAGAAACGAAAATAAATGAAAATAAAAAGGAAAATGTAAAACACATCAAAATAATGGAAGCCTAAATGTAAAAAAAAAGGAAGAGAGAAGAAAAACATATCGACAAATACAGAAAGAATTAAAGACAATGAAAAAGAACGAAATGGAAAAGAAAAACGAAAAGAAATCTGCGAAATCAGAAAATATGTCAAAAAAAACCCCAAAAAAAAACAGAAAAATAAATGAAAAAATAAAGCAAGAAAGAAATAACGAAAGAAAGAAAGAACAATTGAATAAAATGAATGAATGAATGAATGGAACGTAAAAGAGAAGAGACTGACGGATAGCAAGAAGATGAATGATTAAAATGTTGGACGGAATGAATGATTCCAGATAGTAAGAGACCCAGCCGCAAATTGCCCTTATATACCTTATAAAGAGGTCCTTATCAAAATGGCTGAACATCACATCAGATACAATTTTGCATGAACTTGATATATCGACATGTACTCATCTCACTCCTGTTCAAAGATTTGATTTGCTCTTGAGGGAGTGAGCAGATTTGACCGATAAATCAAGAAAAAAAAAATGGCAGATGAGGATTCAGTATTATTTTTTTTTTTTACGTTTTGGTATTAACCAGAAAACTGAATTCGAAAATTTCCTTTACTACACAGTAAAATCTTGCGTTTTGTAAAACGAAATTTTTTCATTGATTTTATTTTACTATTTTTTCATTGAAAAAAATTTCGACTAATACGATTCTTGTAATTTCGTCTTATTTTCCAAGATATAAAAACACACGAAAGAAAGAAGCCAAAACGTTTTTTATCTTGAACGAATGAAATAAAAAAAAACCAAAAATAAATCCGCAAAAAAGAGAGGACAAAATATATTTAAAAAAGAAACTGTTACAAAATTACAAATATAATATATATATATATATATATATATATATATATATATATATATAACTTTGGAAAAAAATATATAATAAACGGACTCAACGAGGATTTATAGAAAAGAAGAATTATGTTTATAGAGACGGTTTTTACCAGAAGACACGCCTCTAGAAAAAAAAATGGCGGAAAAAGTTCTCACTATAATAAAGACAATATTCCGATGTAACAACATCGATAAGTGACAGAACGATTTTAAAGAACTATATTGATATCTTACGTACGCCAAAGCAAAAAGCTGACGTACTAAATTCGAGACAATGAATAAAAATTGAAGTGCAACCAAACGCAAAAAACATTACGAAGAAGTACGAAGTAACAGAAGAATTCATTAAAAGTACTGAATTTTTTTTTTTTTTTTTTTTTTTGCTAAACTGCTGCAGAGAATTGCAAACATCAGCTTTTGATACCAACATTTACATTACTATTTCTTGACAGCATCGTTTCAGCATCCATGATTATATCTATCTATATATCACTATAGCTATATATATACATATATATATATATATATATATATATATATATATATATATATATATATATATGTTCATATATATATGCTATCCTTGAAAGATGATATATATATATATATATATATATATATATATATTTATATATATACCTATGTACTTTTATTATATATCGTATATGTACATATGGTATATGTTTATATATCTTTTATATATACACATATATATGCCATTATACATGAGATTATATTCATATTCATACGTGATTCAACATATATATCTATGTAGATATGCAAATATACATATTTGTATATATATATATATATATATATATATATATATATATATATATATAGTATATATGCATATATCTGAATATATATACAATATATATATGTGTGTATATATTTACATATATATGTGCGTATGTATATAATACAAAAGATAAAACTGCAATGTAATTCATGATAATCTATATTATAAACAAATTTATATCATAAAATGGACATGAAACCCCTAAATTATTATCTACAATTATTGCCCTTCAAAATATCCTATAACATACAGCACACACACTATAATACTCAAACACATATGTGTTTGTGCGTTTGGGTAGAAAATGACAAAATCATTCACACTTATCAATATACGTAAAATAAATAGAATTTAATATATTTCAAAGCGAGCATAAATCTTGTCGTGAAAATGGTCAATGATGTATTAAAACAACAACGGTCAATAAATTATTGAGCTTCAGTTGACTCGTCGTTCGACCGACTTCAAAGTTTCGCGTACACAACGCTCGAAATTTATTTGTCTCTGATGAGGGTTGTGTAAGGGAAATATTGAAGTCTCTCGAAAAAAGGCTCAGTTGACCATATTAATTTACTGACTATATATATATATATATATATATATATGTGTGTGTGTGTGTGTGTGTGTGTGTGTGTGTTGATATCTATATATAATTGTTGAATGTCCCCCAGAAGAGTGGACGCACAGGTCCGTCTACGAAACTCTGGAGTCGAGATGCTGAAGGTAACATCAATCAGCTAAGTGACATACTTTACTCACATTAATCTTATATATATATATATATATATATATATATATATATATATATATATATATATATATATATATATACCCTAAAAGAATATATGACACAATTTCCATTTCATTCGCGAATTTATTCTTGGATCTATTTATACTTTGCAGAATTATCTGTTCTATTTATTTACAAACAAACAAACATTATATATATATATATATATATATATATATATATATATATATATATATATGTAAGATATATATCTGTGTGTGTGCTTTTCGGTGTGTATAAAAGTGAGTGCGTTCATATATATATATATTTATATATGACATTTTTATTTTAACTTCCATGTATACACTTTGTTTTCATTATTCTATATTTAACTGCTTTTGTTATTTAGAAAGGTTCTCCCATTTAAATATTTATTCCTATTCGCGTTTCTATTTTATAAAGAAACTGAAATTCTCTTGTGTTCGAAAAGATCGGAATGTATATTCTGTCGTACCATGTTCTTTTATCAAGAACATAGCTAAAAGAAAATCAACAACAAAAACCATCATCATATAATAATAATAATAATAATAATGTTAATAATAATGTTAATAATAATAATAATAATAATAATAATAATAATAATAATAATAATAATAAAATAATAATAATAATAATGTCGGTATCATTTCTTGAAGTGGATCATCAACCGGAGAAGGCGATCGAAAATCATCAAGTCAAGATCTTATGAGATTTTACGATCCAAAGAAACAGCACCCTTAGAGCCACCATACCAAACAATGTCTTTGAAAATAATTCTAAGAAGGAAATGCTTCTTCATCGATGTGGCAGATCCCGTTGATCATAATATAAAAGTCAAAATAAATTGACAAGATTAAGAAGTACACAGACTTCCGGATTGAGGTTGCCAGAATGTGGGACGTTCAGGCCATTATTGTACCTCAAATATTATTTGGGTGTTGGGGGTCTATACCACGGAACTTAAAGAGCTTCACGAGGAAAATCGGAATAAAAAACCTCGTATCCCATTGCTTCAGAAGTCTGCGTTGCTTGGTTCTGCCAATATTCTGCGAGTGGTGCTATCTGTTTGAGGTCGTACGACTTGATGAAAAACACCCATAAAGCAAGATCTCCGGTTAACAACGAAAACAGTGAGGATGAAGATAATTATAATAATAATAGGGATATATAATATCCCATTTATGATAATAATAATAATAATAATAATAGAGAGATAATATCCTATTTACGATAATAATAATAATAATAATACTAAGAGAATAATAATAATAATAATAATAATGATAATACTAAGAAAATAATAATAATAATAATAATAATAATAATGATAGATAGATAATATCCCATTTACGATAATAATAATAATAATAATAATAATAATAATAATAATAATAATAATAGAAAGATAATATCCTACTTACAAAATAAAGTTACCAAAGACAAGAATAATTTAAACTTAATTAAAACCTATAAAGCATTTCCAGATATTATTACGACTAGTACTACAACTAGTACTAATAATGAAAAACTGAATAATAACAATATTAATAGCTGTAAAAAATAGTTATCACAAATAATCCACATAATATGGTTACTTAAAAGGTTCATCTTAATTTTAATTCCTATTTGCCTAAAATTAAAAAAAAAATGTCTCTATTCAATTTTGTTCAGTGTTGATAAAAAAATATTTGGTTAACCAAGTAAGTAATGACGACGAACAAAAAATAAATAAATAAGTAAATAAAAATATTGGAGATTTTATTCGTTTTTTTTTTTTCCTTGATCCACATCTTTTCAGTTCTCGCTCAACTCAAAGGAGAATGTCATGAGATGGTCACTGTTGATTGATTTATCATTTTAGAAAGAACATAGTTTTTAACTCGAAGGTCACTGTAATCATTTTTTTTTCGATTAGTTTATCATCCGTCTTTCATGATTCACAAACAAAACTTATCCAAATCGATATGGGCTGTTAAAAAATTTTACGAAACGACACAGTTACGAATTTCTGTTCAAATAATCAAACTGAGACTGACTTTGTTCAAAGAGACTCCCAGTCAAATCAGCAACTCTGTGCATTTTTATATATATATATATATATATATATATATATATATATATATATATATATATATATGGCTGTGTGTGTGAAATATATTTTTTAATTTAATTTCATTGCTTTTTTAACTTTTCATGTATTTTTTAATCATTCCATCTGAAGCAAGGCAATAAAGCCACTAAGACACAAGGGTTACTGAGTGCGAGAGAATATGTAAAATAGAAAAATAAATTCAAGAGAGAGAACAATAAAAGAACTGGAATTAAGAAAAACAATAGATAACGATTGACATTGCATTTACATTTTTGAAGAGCAAAGTTGATTGGAAATCAACAAGCTAGAAGAGATTTTCACAAGCGACAGATGAGAAAGAGGAAACTGTTAGAGTTTATAGTTAAATCTAGCATTTCAACTGTAGTATGTTGAGACCTCACCACCAATCAAGTACTGCGCTTAAATTCCCAAAATCTAGGTACCACAGAGAAAAGCTGATGAGAACAATTACCATGAAAATATTTATAGAAAAGTCACAGGGACGCTAAGTTATGAAGGTAGGAAAAATAAATGGAGTCGAGATGCCAGGTCAGGACCGATATCATTGAAGATTATTCTTTGGATTATATCAAGAATCTCTAAATACATAGTAGCAATATTCAATGAATGTGAGACATATAAATATTTAAAACAGTTTTTGGTAAGAAAAAATTGCCTAGCATGGCATCTATTGATATTTAATAATTTATTTATCTTTCTCAAATAAAAATGGAGATCTCCTTTGTCTTGCTAGTAACTAATACATAAAGAATTGTTCGGTTGGACATATTTTATTTATGCCTGAAGATTGCGATATGCATGAATCTTTGAGTAGCATCAAGCGCTGAGGAACA